GTGGTGGCACACGCCTGTAGTCCCAATGACTCTGGAGGCTGAGGCAAAAGCATCGCTTGAACCCAGGAGGTGGAGGTTGCAGTGAGCCAAGATCATGCCCCTACACTCCAGACTGGGCAACAGAGTGAGACTGTCTCAAAAACAAACAAACAAACAACAACAACAACAACCAAAACACACACAGCTTAAATGAAAAATTCAATTTCAACAGAAAGGCTAGAAAATGAAAGCAGAAAAAAGTTCCCAGAAAAAAAGATTTTAAAAGGAATAGAAAATAGAACAGATGAGAATGTCCAAGTTCAAACAATAGAATTTCAGAAAGAAAAAAAAAAGAAGAAAACCACATATTTTCCCTAAAAGACATGAATCTTCAAATTTACAATGTCCATCAATATATGTACAATTATTATGTGTCAATTTAAAAAGACATTCATCTAGTACATAAAGGTAGAACTTCAAGAAACATCATAACATTCTGAATCACTAAACACCAAAAAAAAGAAAAAAAAAAAAAACTTCCAGAGAAAGGAAAATGAAAAATAAGGCTACTCTATAATGATGACAAAGTGTATTTCAAGGTAAAAGTTATGCACAAAACTGAGGCAGAAACCCATTCTGAATAAAGTAGGTGGGAAGGCTCAAAAACAGATGTCTTTAATTAAACTCATGGAGTTTGGTATTATAATATGCTGAGAGAGGATTTAGTCAATTAGAAAAAAGCATGTAGATGGCTTAGCACTGCAGTGAAAGCTAAGTACACTGAAAACTGTCGCAAACAACAAAAAAAATATTAACTCCAGAGAAAGCAAAAATTGTGAAAGAGTAGAAAAGTAACAAAAGAACACCACATGGCTCAGCTGTGAAAAGTGTTCACAATAATGTGAATACAGTAAAACATTAAAAAGTTGATTGCACAACAGCATTTGCACGGATGGAGAATGAAGGGACTAGGTACCTATATGTATTTGTGTGTTTGGTGGGAAAAGCAGGGAAGAGAGATAAACTGTTGTAAGTCAATGAACAATTGACAATTTAGCCTTAAGCTAAAAGAAATTATATGCACATTATTTGATAACATAAACACTAAAAAAAACATCAAAAACAGCTGAAAGTAGTTGTCTCTAGACAGCAAGAAAGGAACTGCTACTTTTTATAATAAATCTTTATGTTTACTGTATGCATATATAACTCAATGAACAATAAATCAAATTTCAAATGGACAAATGATATGGAAAGGAACATTACTATCAAGGAAATGGAAATAGCCAATAACCCTATTGCCACAGGAGCAATGAGATGCTCAAACTCAGTGAGATGACACATGAAATATGAATCAAGTAGGTAAACATAAATCGAATAAGTAAATATAAATCAAAACAAGATCTTTCACTCATTAGATTGCCAAAACATTTACAAACTGATTATGCAGTCCTGACAAGAATATAAAAAGGAGGGGATACCTCATACTTCCCATAGACTGCTGGCAAGAAGGTAAAATTCAACTATTTTGAAAAGTAATCTTGCAGGATCTATAAGATATAAAATGTACAGGCCCTCTGACCCAGCAATATCACTTTCAGGACTATCTTACTAAAATTAAAAAGGCTAGCAATATAAAGCATTTGATAATCCACAAAATCTTTATTTTTCTTGTTAATTAATCTAACGAGGCTGGGTGAGGTGGCTGACACCGACAATCCCAACACTTGGGCAAGTCAAGGCGGGCAGATTGCTTGAGTTCAGGAGTTCAAGACCAGTCTAGGAAACATGGTGAAACCCTGTCTCTGCTAAAAATACAAAAAAATTAGCCAGGCATGGTGGTGCACACCTATAGTCCCAGCTACTTGGGAGACTGAAGCATGAGAATCACTTGAGCCTGGGAGGCAGACATTGCAGTGAGCCGAGATCACGCTGCAGCACTCTAGTCTGAGCAACAGAGTGAGACCTTGTCTCAAAAACAAAACAAACAACCATAACAACAACAACAACAAAAAGCAAATCTAACAGATAAGTTTATTCAAAGTAATTATTGTAAAAAAGTATTTGGTGATTATAGTTTATGAAAAAGTAAATGATTGACAGAAATGATATAAGGGACACAAGGGAGGAAATGAGTACTTATAAGGTCATTGACTAGATGTTAAGTGATATAGTGTTATTTGAAAGAGGACTAAATACAACTAAAACAATATAATTAGCAATTACAACTAATTCTGTTGTAAATCTATATTACAAACTTAATAGCAACCATTAAAAAGAGTGATGAAAAAGTATAATTGATATACTAACAGAGAAGATAAAATGAAATCACATAGAATGCTCAGTCAAAGCCAGATAAGGCAAAAAGAGTAAAAGACAAAAAAAAAACCCAAAACACCAAGGGCAAAAAATATGGTAAGTATTAATTTAATTATATCAATAATTAATTGTTAATGTCATAAATATGTCAATAAAAGATTATCAAGGTAGATTAAAAGTCAAGACCCAACTATATATTGTCTATAAAAATCCCACTTTACACTTTAAACATAAAGACGAAGATAAATTAAAAGTAAAAGAAGAATGGAGGAAATACATACCACGCTAACAATAATCAAAAGAAAGTTGGAGTAGCTGCATTAGTTTCAGACAAAGCAGTCTTCAAAGCAAGGAAAATTATCAAGGGTAAAAATGAACATTAAATCATAATAGAAGGGTCAATTTTCCAAGAAGACATAACAATCTTTAATTTGTATGCACATAACAACAAAGCATCAAAATACTGAAATCAAAAACTGATAGAACTGCAGGGAGAAAAAGATGAATTCACTAATAGAGCTGGAGATTTCAACATACCTCTATCAGTAATTGACAGATTCAGCAGGATGTCAGTAAAGTCAAAGTTGAACCAAACAGTAAAATCAATCAACTGAATATAACTGACATCCAACAATAGTAGAATATATATTACATAAGCTCACACAGATAATTCACTAAGATGCCACTTTCTGGGCCATAAAACATACAATAAACTTTAAAAACTAGAAATTATATAAAGTGTGCTGTCAGATCTGTAAAAACACAAGGGTTGGGAGCAGTGGCTCAGGTCTGTAATCCCAGCACTTTGGGGGCCAAGGCAGGTGAATCACTTGAGGTCAGGAGCTCCAGACCAGCCTGGCCAGCATGGTGAAAGTCCATCTCTAATAAAAACATAAAAATTAGCCAGGCATGGTGGCATGCACCTGTAGTACCAGCTACTCGGGAGGCTGAGGTACCAGAATTGCTTCAACCCAGAAGGCGGAGTTTGCAGTGAGCCAAAATCACGCTACCGTACTCCAGCCAGGGTGACAGAGCAAGACTCTATCTCAAAAAAACAAAAAAAAAAACAAAAAACAAAAAAACACAAGGGTAAAAGAAATCTCAAGAGAAAATGGAAATATTTTGAACTAAATGAAAAATGAAGATACAACTTACCAAAACTATGAGATGTAAGAAAGATGTGGTTTAGAGGGAAATTTATAGCATTAAGTACAAGTATAAAAGTACAAATATTATAAAAGAAGAAAAGAGCTAAAACTAATCATCTAAGCTTCCACCATAGAAAACTAGTAAGAGAAAATTAAATCCAAAGTAAGAAGAAAAGAAATAAAAATTAGAAGAGAAATCAATAAAATTAAAAACATTAAATCAATAGAGGAAAATCAACAAAACCGAAAGTTAGAAGTTAGTTTTTTGAAAAGAACAGTGAAATTTATAAGCCTCTAGTCAGGTTAACTAAGGAAAAAAAAAGAGAAGACACAAATTACTAACATCAGAAGTGAAAGAGGGGCCATCACTACTCATTTCAATTATATTAAAAGGATAAGGAAATATTATGAACAATTCTGTGCCCACAAATTTGATAATTTCGATAAATTGACCCTTTCCTTGAAAGACATATTTTGCCAACATTCACAAAAGAGCAAGTAGACAATCTGAATAGGCTCTGTTTATTAAAAAAATTGAATCAATAACTAATAACCTTCCAAAATAAAAAACACCAGGCTAAAATTGGTGAATTTTATAAAATATTTTATGAAGAAATTAAACCAATTCTATGTCATACCCTCCAGAAGACAGAAAGAATAACTTCTATTTTACTATGAGGTCACCATTCCAATAATACCAAAACCAAACAAAGACATTACAAATTCTACAGACTGATATACTTCATGAACATAGAGGCAAAAATCCTCAATAAACATTAGCAAATGAAAGCCAACAAAGTGTAAGAATGATTTATACATCATGAACAAGTGGGATTTATTTCAGGTATGTAAAACTGGCTCAACATTCGAACATCAATTAATGTAATATCAAGCTAAATTAAAAAAGAACACTTATTGCAGTGTTATTTATGGAGGGAAAAATCCTAGACACAATCTGATGTTCACTAAGAGGGAAAATGTTTGAATAAATTGTGGTAAAGCTATACACAAAAGTATAATGCAGCCATTAAAAATCATGTTTCATTCTGTATTCACCTAAGAAAATTCCCATAGTTATAAAATAAACCAAGCTGCAGGGTAATGTATAAAAAATATAATACCATTTTTGTAAAGAGATTATAAAAATATGACTGCTTGTATGTAGGTCTGTCTGATGCATTGGATAATTATAAGCACAGAGAAAGTCTAGAAGTATAAACACTAAAATATTACCATTGGTTAAGTGAGAAAATAGGAACGAGAGGAGGAAGAAAAAAGTACCTAGCTTCTTTGCACGTCTTTGGTTTGACTTAATCATGTGTGACAAAAGTCTGTAAGTGAAAATACAAGGGAGCAGACAATGGGGGGTAAGGAGCCCCTTCAAGAGCGAACTCTCCTTAGTTTGAAATTACAGACGTCAAGGTCTACTCTGCCTGCATAGTCCATAATCCTGGTTATTCCAATTTTTTTTAGATCATTTAATATATTATTAGTGGCTTGTGAGAAAACCAAACTATACCTGGAATAATTATCCAGATTTAAAATAGCACATACCTTTCTTGAGAAGAGTTCATATTTGCTCCATAAAGGAGTAAAATAAGTCCTTCTTCTACAGATGCAATTCTTGCCAAAATACCAGCTATATGAATTAAAGCTGTCTCAGAGCAATTTGGAAATGCCTGTACATTAAAAAGAAAACAAGACAAATCACATAATTTAATGACATGCTAACATATCACAGACTAAAATTCAAGGATTGTATGTAGTCTCGTAAAGCTATATTATCACAACAAAAAACAAGCTTAATGATTTGTTTGGCTGTGAAATAATATGTCTGAATAAAATGTGTTATTACATTATATTATTTTACCAGCCCAACTGATGAAGCAAATAAATACAGATTTTTTTTCACCCAAATTAATTAAGAATTATTAAGAATTTCTGCTCTTGTTACAGTTTCATATATATTTCTGGTTGGTAAATGTAGTAGACCTTGTATTTCCACTTTGCCCTTTATTTCCCACCCACTGGGCTCCTGAGTATCCAATATAATTACATTATATATGATATGTAACACACTGCCGTCCCTTCTAAGGGTGTCATCCTCTTATACACATTCACGTCATGAATGTACATCCGACTAAGGAGAGCCAATTCATGGGCTGGCCAATAGTCAATGATGTCACCTAATAAGAAAATAAAGACTGAACCAACCATATTTGCTCACTTTTGCTTTCAAATGAAAGTACTAAAATGCCTTTGCCAATATATACCAAAGTAGCACAAAGCACACACTGAAAACCAGAGAGCCATGTCAATGCTAGAGTGCATCTATAGTATTATAATTCCTGTTCTTTGTGGGGTCTGCTTATTCACCTGAACCTGCATGGATGCCAACACACATATCATCTATAATACATTTGAAAATGTAAATGTTGCAATCAATACATTCTAATAAATTTAGTAGGCTAGCCTAACTAATGATTAGTTGGGTATATTCACCTAAAGAAGTCCTAATTATTACTAATCATATTGTTTAGTATGAATAGCACTATTCTTACTACTTAGCACAAAAAGTATATCATTTTTCATATTAAATATCTTTCTTAAAATAATTTCTCTCCTTAGAATACATTCCTTCTCTCACATACGAGACTATATATATTCTCTCATGACTATATACATAAAAACACAGTATTTTAAAACTTTCTATTCCTCATTTTAAATATTTTTTGTTTAAAGGTCTGCCTTGCCTATTACAGTAGGCTTCTTAAAGGCAATAAACATGTATTATTCACTTATATATTTGCAGTACCCAGCAGAGAGCTAATGATACAGCAGAAGCTCAATGGGTGATGCTGGATGTCTTAAATTAGATACTGAGTGTCCACTATGTGCCAGAGGACTACTGTTAAGAATAAATAATTCAAGCATAACATAAGTACAACTACAGAAGTACATAACATGGGAACACAGAGAAAAAACCCACCTAACTTTGCAAAGGAGAACTGGGAGGAAATTTCAAAGATAAACTCTAGTCTAAAGAGGAATTTTTTCATGTGGACTAGGGTGAAGAAAAAGTATTCAAACCCAAGGAGATATAATAACCTTATTTAGAAAGTGCAAATTATCTATTACAACTGGAATATATAAGAAAGAAAGTAGTTAGGGGACAGAAAACTTGCATTTGCCAAGTTTACCTAGCAAGCAACAAGCAGAAAAGTATGTGACAGTCCACTGATGGGTGAACATAAGAGAAAGATGAAAACAGTAAAAACACCTCAAAACAGATACAAAAAGGCAAAAGCTTTTAACCTATTGATAAGCCTTAAAAATCATGCCCAGAAGTTTAAGTCATACAAGTAGAGGGAGGTACTGAATAGACACCCAAACTAGTAACAGTAGCAACTCTGCAACTTGGTAAATGTCTGACCTAGGGCAAGTCACTTATTTCAGCCCCAGTTGTGATTATTAAATTATATAATGTAAGGGAATATACTGTGCAAACTGTAAAGAGACATACATCTGTTCAAATTGGAATTCTATATAAGTGTTCTCTCTAAAGTAATGCCAGTTCTTCTTAATATAAAACAGAGTTGGTTACTAAGGAAAATAATCACACTTCCAAAAGCTATAAAAATGCCGTAAAACAAATAACAAAACATTTACAAGATTTATTAGATTTGCAAAACAAATAACTTCTTAATAGAATAACTTTTCTAAGTTATTTGCATCAGCAGATCTAGTCCTGATTAAAAAAAAAAACTTGGATATTCTATGTACTTTCCCTCTGCATATCATAATAAATCAATCAACGGCATGAGTTATAATTTAATACTAAATAAAAATATATATCAACACAAAATACATTCATACATGGAAGGACAGCATAATAAAACATTTCAAATTTAGAAATAAAGTCCCAGGTAAGAGACTCTTTTTCTCCTTAGTAAATAATACCAACCTCAGTTCCTTTCATTAAATTGTGAATAGGCTGAAGAAGTGTCTCTATTACAATGTTGTTATATAAGCATTCCACCGCGCATTCTTTTTGATCACAGAGTATCCATAGAACTTCAGTCACCATACTTGCAGGAGAGTAATTCTCTAATAAACAATAAATATTTTTTAAAACCAAAACATTAAATACTTACAACTATTTTATGTGTTAGCTGTTGTTCCAAAAAGTTCAACATCGAAGTTAATTCAATACTTCAAAAGTTATACAACTCAAAGGATGATGTATTACCAAACTATAACCTGACTTAGGGGAATTTCAATTGGCTTAACATAAAAAGTAAGCAAATGACAACAAACATGAATGCCAAAAGACGAGAATACAAAATCATTTACTGTTCAACATTAAATGACTGCTTAATATTGAAGATGTGGTCTGAAGCAAATGTACAGCTTTTTTTCCTCCTAGAAAATATGTTTTTCTCCCTAGAATACACCTTTATCTTACTTACATTTATTCTTTTTCTTAAATAACATATTCAAGTATTGAGCCTACAAGAAAATTAAATTCAGACAAGAAAATGGAAAAAAGGAGGCAGAAGAGAATGGAAACTTTCATAAACTTTTATAGACACTACTATATGTCTTGTATTACCATAAAGCCAGTGGAAACAAAGATCATTTTTTAGATTTTCTTTCAAAATACAGTATATACAGGAAAATACAATACATGTAAGGGTAACATGGTTGGAATCATCACTGAATTAAATGATTTTCAGTTTCATAAATTGACATATTTTCAGATATATAATCTAATATCCTCAAAATAATAGTTTTTAATGTAAGATTGTCCTAGTAGGATACAATACTTTAGTATTTAGACACTGTATGTCTATGCATTATTGGTGTTTTTTATTATTAAGTGTTTTACTTTGGAAACTATTCTAAGATGAAAGTTTTTAATTTATGTTACAATATTCCATAATCAAAAAACATGCTGACTCCAGGTCAATATCTGACAAAAAGAAAATGGAAAAGGAAAGTTCAGTGATTTTTCAACCAACTCCAAGTGAGAAACCCTGTTTACAATGACAGATATTATTGATGAGCATATGGTCATTCTTTCACTCATCCAATCATCTTCTATTTATTAAGTGCCTAATATATACCAGGCACTGTACTAGGAACTAACTATGAACAGAAAGGTAAATAAGACAAAAACAATCCACATCATGGTAAACCAAGACATAAACAAGTAATTAGAACAAAGAAAGATTATTTTAATCATAAAGGATGCCTATGTTGTAGGAGTATATAGTCAGAAGACCTAAGGTAGTTCTTTATACATGTAAATGCTGTAAAGACAGAAAAAAAATCTGAGAAACACTGTGAAGATCAATAGGCTAGTATAATTGCTTGGAAAAAATCTATTAGTTTCATATTTTTTTAAATTGATTCAGAAGGTATATGTGTCGACTTGTTACATGGATACACTGAATAATGGTGAGATTTGGGCTTCTGGTGCACTCATCACCTGCACAGTGAACACTGTACTGAATAATAACCTACCAGTTGATAGTTACATTATAGCACTAATATATAGCCCAAACCATTTTTTTCTTTGATTCACTTCAGTTTGCCTCAGAATTTGTGTCAGCAATTCTAGGGTTATTTCCTAGTTTTAGAACACTGTATGTCTATGCATTATTGGTGTGTTTTATTATTAAGTGTTTTACTTTGGAAACTATTCTTGATACTCAAAGGAAAAATATAAGTTATCTTTTAAATGTTAATATTTTAGAACATTTTTAAAAACTAGTCAACAGCCATAAAACTAAAAGGTATTTTTCTGAAAAACATGAAGAGTTTTTTCTTTATTCTTCAATAAAAGAAGACCCTGAAAAGATTGAAGTTTTGGATGTAAGACAAAACAAGTGAGTTGATCAAAACATTTTAGAAAGTATAAAGAATGGAAAATAACAGGAAAAAAAATCACATTATGACCTATCAATCAAATATCCCTCAGTACCATGTCTTGAGAACATTTTGATCTTAATAAAGAACATCATTAAAATTCTCAGTGATTAAATTCTAAATTTAAAACCTAGTACAGTAGAAACATCTTAAAACATCAATGAACAAAATTAAATTTCATGGCTTACTTCAGGACCAATGTAATTTCTCATAATACTGTATCTTAATGAAACCTACTTACCAAAGTAGGTCAGGCACTCAAAACATCTAGACAATAGAATACTTCAATATTTTTAGATGTTTTCTATTTTTCTACTTAAAATAGAAACAGAATTACCTGCATGTGTAGCTGATGTCATCTTTGGACAACTTGGTGAGTAATAGATAAGCTGTGTAAATAGAACAATCAGATCTACGAGGGATACCAAACCTTTAAAAGGAAAATAAAGAGAAAATTAATTTCTAACACATTCTTTCAACTTAGAGAAATTTAACTGAGCTTTCATCCATCTATATAATTGAGTTTTTGTACAGACTATTGGGCAATCAGGCAGAAGGGAGCTATAATCTCAGATAGAAGACTCCAGAACAAATTACATACAAATTAAAACACAGTAAGGCAAGCAATGCTGTAGGTGCTATGTAAAGATACAGTTTTACCATTTATTTTGAACCAATCACCTAAGATAAACCTATGACAGAAAGATGTATGAATCTGATCAAGGCTATTTGAGTTTATTCAATTAGAAGTAGTAAAATTCAGCTTGCCAAGTTGGTCCGGCTGACTTATCTACACAAAACTGTAGAACAGGCCGGGCGCGGTGGTTCAAGCCTGTAATCCCAGAACTTTGGGAGGCCGAGATGGGCAGATCACGAGGTCAGGAGATCGAGACCACCCT